ATCTTCATCAGTGATTCAAGTCCTCTTCGCTTTCCGCAAGCAAGGTTGTGTCATCTGCATAACGCAGGTTATTAATGAGTCTTCCTCCAATCCTGATGCTCGGTTCTTCTTCATATAGTCCAGCTTCTCGGTATATTTGTTCAGCATACAGACTGAACAGGTATGGTGAAAGGATACAACCCTGACGCACACCTTTCCTGACTTTAAACCACGAAGTATCCCCTTGTTCTGTCCGAACAACTGCCTCTTGATCTATGTACAGGCTCCTCATGAGCACAGTTATGTGATTAGATGCTTCCTAAATTTGGATTTGGCCCAGTTCTCTCTTGATAATCTTATCTACTTCCATGGCTGTTGTGGGTTGTCTCCCAACAAAGATACCTTCAAGTCCTAAACCCCCATACCTGTGAATGTGACCTTATTTGTAAATAGAGACTTTGCAGATGTCATATTAGAGTAAACCAAAAACCTACTGCTGTAGAGTCAATTCCGACTCATAGCAACTCTGCAGGACAGATTAAAACTGCCCTCATAGGGTTTCCAAGGCTGTAAATTTTTATGGAAGCAGACGGCCACATCTTTCTCCCGTGGAGCAGCTAGTGGGTTCGATCCACCGACGTTTCAGTTAGCAGCTTAGCGTTTTAACCACTGCACCACCAGGGCTCCTCATACTAGGTTAAAATAGGCCCTAATTCAATCTGACTAATGTCCTTGTAAGAAGAGGAGCAGAGACGCGAAAGGCAGACTAGACACAGGAATGATGGTCATGTGAAGACAGAGGCAGAGATTGGAGGCATCTACCAGCCAAGGAATGTTGAAGGATGCTGGCCACCAGCAGAAGCTAGGAGGAGGCAAGGGAGAATTCAACTCAGTCTTGGAGCATAGACCTGCCATCACCTTGGTTTCGGACTTCTAGCCCCCAGAACTGTGAGAGAATAAATTTCTGTTATTTTAAGGCACCGGCTTTGTGGGACTTCCTTATGGCAACCCTAGGAGACTAATACAACAGCTTCTATCATCAAGGAAAAAAATCTGAGATGAATGTGTATGGAGTAGGAGGAAAAGGAATAAATGATGCATTAGCCACCTAATTCAAATTTTTTTGACCATTTTTGTACCGTAGACCCCTGTAGCAATCTGTTGAAGCCTATGGATCCCTTCCTTGAATAATGTTTTCAAATGCTTAAAATACATAGGATTACCAAGGAAACCAATAATAATGAAATAAGGTTATCAAAACATTTTTTTAAAAATGTGTGATATACAAATATACTGATGTACTAATGGATAGCCTTCATGTAGTCCAAAGAAGAACACAGCGTCAGGACTGAAGGAAGATTCATTAACAACCTGTGATATGCACATGACTAAGGTACACCTGACCCAAGCCATGGTATTTTCAGTTGCCTCATATGCATGTGAAAGCTGGACAGTAAGAATGGAAGAGACCAAAGAAGAATTAGTGCATGTGAATTGTAGTTTTGGTGAAGAATATTGAATATACAGTGGACTGCAAGAAGAATGAACAAATCTGGCTTGGAAGAAGTACAACCAGAGCGCTCCTTAGAAGTGAGGATGGCAAGACTTGATCTTGCTTACTTTGGTCATGTCATCAGAAAAGACCATTCATTAGAAAAGGAGATCATGTTTGGTAATGTAGAACGTAAGCAAAAACAGGGAAACCCTCAATGAGATAGGCTGACATGGTGGATGCAACAGTGGGCTCAAACATACGAACAGTGACTGTGAGGATGGTGCTGGACTAGGCTATGTTTCGTTCTGTTATACATAACGTTACCATGAGTTGGAGCTAACTTGATGGCCCTAGTTAGCATAAAATAACAAAATATAATGGCACGTCTAAAAAACTAGCATAATTTCAAAGTATTGATGAATACTTGGATACATCTGCAATAACTGTAACGTGGTATGAAAATATCTGTGATTCTTAGTGGTGTCAAAATTACTGCTAATATTTCTGTGATTTGTTGTCTGTGTTCATAACTGAAGGAAATATTATTTTCAGTTAAAGGGCAATACAGATGTAAGATCCAAGTTCATAGATCCCCCTGAATACTACCCATAGATCTAGGGCTGGAATATGAAGTCTAAAGTTTTCCAAAAGAGATTGGAAATCCTGCTGCAGTGAGTTCACCAAACTGCACAGTCTGAGGGCATGGTCCTCCACAAGGCTGCTCTCAGACACCAGCCACAAGTTTGGAGGTCCCAAAGCTACCCTCACTGCTGACCAGCTGGCTACAAATTCAAGGGTTCCCATGACCACCGTCAGGTATGATAATTTGCTGGTATAACTCACAGAAGTCAGGAAAGTTCTACACTTACAATTACGTTTGTACTGTAGTAAAAGAATAAAAATCAGAACTAGCAAAAGCAGAGATACATAGGGGCTGGGAGGGTTGCAGATGGGAAGCTTCCATTGTCCTCAGGGACCCACAGTGTCGAAGTGTGACTTATTCAAAGAATTGTCTACCCAGGAATCTCACTCGAGCTTCAGTGTCTAGGGTTTTTATCGGGGTTTCATTGTATAGACATGAGTGATGAAATCATTGACCATGTGACTGAACTCAATCTCTAGTCTCCCCTCCCCTCTTACAGAGGTTGTGCTGATATCCTGTGGCTCAGAGCCACAACCCTCCAATTACATGGTTGGTCTTTTTGGTGTGGGCTGCTTTCCCATCATGAGTTGCCTTGTTAGCATAAACTATCAGGTGTGGCGCAGGGACTCATCATAAATAACAGAGACAAACCCTCACCCAGGAAATTCCAAGGATTTAGAGGTTATCTCCCAGAAATTGGGGACAAAGGCCAGCCAAACTCTTTATTACACACTTACCTTATTTTTGTGACTAACAGAAGCCATGGGAGATGGTATGAAGAAGGGCTGTGTGGAGCCATCTATAATTATGTGATTATTCTACATTCCTCATGTCATATTTTATCCCTGCTTCTTAGTCCACTGTCTTTCTCAGAGTGTCTTTTATATTGAAGCAAAATTGAAACCGGTCAGTTCCTCTATTTGTTAGCAGCTGTTATGTTTTAGTTTTATTGGCAGGATTCTTTTCAGTTTGTTTCATTGTTTTTTAATTATATTCATTGGCTGTAGGGGAGGCTGAAACTGCCTTATCTGGGGTCATTTTTTCAAACTTTGACATAGATAATTGGACTTAAATGTGAATAGAATTCAAATATCCAGCTTCAACCTCTGTAGCATTGCCTTCAAGATTTTGACCAGTAGATAAAATCGTCTCCTCTCTCCATCTTGTTAACCCTCTCCTGCCTTGGCTCCCCGAGCTCTGCATTCTCCTGACCCTCTTCTGGCTTTTCTGTCTCAGGATCCCTTCTGAATCTTCTAATCTGTTCCACACTCTCTACCAACCAGAAAAATACAGGCATTTCCTGACATCAGGCTTTGGGCCAGTTTTCCCTTGATTATTTTTCTTCTTTGATAGTGTCTTCCAATCCCCACTTTACTTCATTTTCTGTATTTCTTGTCAGTTTTAATGGACCCACCATTTCTCGGTTGTTCAGATTTTAGCAAACTTGGCAGATATCTTTTGGACACTACGGTGCACTAAGCAATATGTTGGATGCTGGGAATACAATACTGAATCACTGGAGTAGGTCCCTGCCTCTGTACACCCTACAATCTATCAAGGAAAGTCAGCCTTGAACACGAAATTCAAGGGGGGAAGCAGGAAGTTTTAAGTAGGCACAGGCAGAGTGTTTAGGTTTATATTTTTAAAAGATAAATCTAACTGCAGTATGGAAAATGGCTTGACCAGAAAAAACAAACTCGTTGCCATCAAGTGGATTCCGACTCATAGCTACCCTACAGAGAGGGTCAAAAATCCATGTACAGAGACAGTTGGAGGTGATTTTAGTAGCCCAGTTAAGAGAAAATATGATGGCCCTCACTATATCTCAGAGTCGTCGTTGGCTCCTATCTGCTTCTCTTAACAACTGATCCTTGGAAACCCTATGGAGCAATTCTGCTCTGTCCTATGGGGTCACTATGAGTCAAAATTGACTCGATGGCATTGGTTTTGGAATTTTAATTATATATTAGGCACTAGGGATTCAGCTATGAATAAAACACATCCCTGTTCTGGAAGCACTTGCTGGTATCTTCATAGGAGTTTGGGGTTTTCTTACCAGGAATTGCAGGAGAATATACATTTATTAAACTGGAGAAGTTGTTCACCCCTTTATGAAAACATCACCTTTTCCCCGGCTAACTCAGAATTGAAAACAGCATAGCCTTAGCTGCAACGTGAAAGAGAGCCAGACACGGTGTATATCTTGTCACTATATAAAAAAGTATAAGAAGTAAAAATGAATTTATTAGAATATTACTGCTTGTGGTTTACTTAGTGCTTGATTATTACTATTATTTCACATGCTCCTCATCTCAGACTTTAATATGCCCTGCGACACGTGGGTTCTTGTAACTTTCTTCTCAATGTCACTTTACACCCTATGCTGGGAAGCATCTCTAGAGGTGTTAAGCAATAATAATAGCATTTATTGAGTTCCAATATATGCCCGACATTGTTCTAGAGAGTGAAGATAGGCAAAACTTAATTTATGGTCTCAAGTAGCTTATAGTAGTACCTTATATAAGAATTGTGTTGCTATAGGAATAAAAAAAAAGAGGGGATATATTACTAAAATAAGATGCTTATATATAAGGTTCTGATTTTTTTTCAAGACTAGTTTGAAACTGGACATTAGGGATAAATACTAAGATTTTCTAAAATATGACAGTTGTGGAAAAAGGAAGCATAAACTCTGAAATCAAAGTAGATTAGCATAGGGGAAATGTAAGAGGCCTTTGGTAGAAGAATAGAAGAGATGAGGAAAGTATATATCAGAAATAGTAAAGAGTATTGTTTTCAGATGTCTTTGTATGCATATATAAATATCTGTGGCTTCAAATTTGACTAGATTTTGTTTGTCTGTTTTTCAAAATCTTTTCTAAGAATTGCCCTGGTGGAAAATATTCCTGAAGGCCTTAACTATTCAGAAAATGCACCATTTCACTTACCACTTTTCCAAGGCTGGATGAATTTACTCAACATGGCCAAAAAGTCTATTGACATAGTATCTTCCCATTGGGATCTCAACCACACTCATCCATCAGCATGTCAGGTAAGCTGCATCCTGTAAGTGTGTAATGGTCTTATTTATGTGTTTTACACTCGCGTATTCTTGTCATCCACTCCTCACCCTATAGTGCGAGTACATCATTATCCTTATGCCCATGTGCCTTTCCTAATCAGATGTTGCTCAGCTCCTACTAGAACGTCAGGCTCTCAAGGACAAAATCATGTTTCATCTTTGCATACAATAGGCTCGAGGCACAGTGTTGCTGTGTTGCACAATTTCAGGGAGCGCCATTCACATCAGAGTCTCCATCGATGGCATGCCCCAGCGTTGTACTTTGCACAACCTGCAAGGTTACAGTTGTAATGCTGTAACTGCTTACTGAGGCATTTTTCTGGTTAATTGGGGTTATAATTTGCCTTTAGGCTATAGAGCCAACTTTGTAAAACAGTAGAATCTCACTTCCCACTATAGCTGTATATTCTAAGCTGTGTCGTATTTGGATGAATAGGAAAAAGAAATGTGCTAATTACACAAAACAACCTTTAGAAAACTGACTAAATGATCTAAACGATTCCAGAGAGAAAGGTTCTGAATTTAAGAAAATGCTCCCAGTGATCTTTTCTTTAGTGTGTTTTTCTTTATATGGGTTGCACCACTGTAGTTTGCACTGCCTATCCAGGCTGCTGTAGCCAAGCGTATGACCGTTGGCCTATCCATAAATGTCCTGCTTGGGTCAAGGGTAAAACTCAGTTTGTCTCTTTGTATAGAAAATGTGCTGTCGTTGAGCCTGCGACCATTACCTCATTGGTGCTTTGAAGTCTGTTATTCAATTTTACTATTTTAAAATCAAAAGATGTCAGAAGCTAGATGAAAACAAACAAGAAGACAAAATATCATACTAAAGAAGAATTGAATCAGTTTATTAATCGTGTTCTGTACGTCTCCACCTGTACTGATTGAACAGGTACTTCAGGTATCTCTTGCCACATAATACATTATCCCAAAACTTAGTGGTTTAAAAAATAGCAATTGTTTATATATTCATGATTCTGGGCAGGGTTTGGCAGAGATGACGTATCTCTACTCCACAGAGTGTTGAATGGGGTGACTTGCTGGAGGCCGGAGGATCCAAGAAGGCTTTCCTCAAACATCTGGCATCTCAGGTGGAGTGGCTGGAATATCTGAGGGCTGGCTAGATTGCTCTCTCTGTATATAGTCTCATCATTCAGTAGATTAGTCTGAGCTCTTTACATGTTGGCTGGATCCTAAGAGGGCAAGAGCAGAACCTATGAGATCTCTCTAAAACTTGGGGTTGGAAATTCCAAAATGTTGCTTTCACTTTATTGATCAAAGCAAGTCACAAGTTCAAGATAGGCAGAGCAATATTGTGTACAGGAATGAGAATTGTTAACAACCGTCTTTGGAAATAATATGCCACAGTCCACCCGCTGGACATAGTAATCCACATGTTTCCCAAATGCAAAATATACTCACATCATACCCCAAAACTTTTATCCCATTACAACAAAGGCTTAATGCCCAGGAACTCTTCATCTGCTTCAGGTCTGGATCTAGATGTGCCTTCTTATGTGCAAATCTCTTCATTTGGAAACCTGTGAACTCGAAAGACAAATTATCTGCCCTCTACAAACACACACACATACTCCCAACATACAGTGGTTTGACAGGGATAGAATAACTACTACAGACACCTCTGTTCAAAAGGGGAAAATTGGAGAGTGCACATCAGTCATTGGTCCATAGCAATTTTGAAATCCAACCAGGCACATGTCACCAGGTTCTCTAAATCTAGACCAGGGAATATTTCTAGATAGGACTGAGTTCTGCTGTCTAGGAGTATTTTCCTCTTCCCTTGTTCTCAGAGGCTTTTGGCTTGACCTCTGCATTGTTCTTCTTTGTCCATAAGAAATGGCCTATGTTTGCTTCTGACTTATTTCTTAGCCTGTTTTCTGCCAGTAGAAATTTGAGGCCGCAGAGACCTCTCTTCATTTCAAACCATCTCTGTCACTTTTTAGTCCAAATGGTACAACTCCTTAAAAACTTTGTAGACTTTCTATGTATCAAGTTTTAATCCACTGTATTGGTAATAAGTCATACCCACAAAGATCTTGCAGACAGGTCTTCCTCTACTTTGGACTGTGACTCAAGGTGCTGGAGGACATAACCCTTAAAATACTAGTAACCCTTTTGTCTAGCTGGGATGGTCTAGGAGGCACCATTTTAAGTCCTTCAGAGATCTTAACAAGGGGTCTTACAGCCACACCCTTGGTTTGTTCTTTACCCTGAGGCCATTTCTTAACTTTGAGAATATTTTGATGAATGGAGAAACCGTCATAGACTCTGTATTTTCTCTAAATTCATCACGGAAACTAAATAGTTCCTTATTTAGTTCATATTTTCTTTTTTTATAATACCTTATCATACACCACTGAAACTGTGATATTCTACTGAATCTACAAGTTCATTAATTATATTTTCTCTTTCACGTTACCTCAGACAATAGTGTTGTCAAATATTTTGCTATTATGTGATGTGGATCTCCCTTTCATGCTCTTTCAGCCACCACTAACAGAAGGACTCTCCAGCCTCGACCACCATCAAGTCCCAAAGGCAATACTACATACTTTAGGTTTGGCTACAGCAGCATCCCACTTCCAGATACCAGTTTCTGTTTCAGTTATCTATGATTATATAACTTATGTGTTATTATTTCTTATGATTCTGTAGGTTGACTATACAGTCCTTTTATTTGTTGTTGCTGGTGGGATTACTCATGTAGCTGCATTCAGGTGGGAGATGGGCTGGGGCTGGACTATCTGAAAGCTGGCCAACTCTCTTTCTCCCTAAGTGGTCTTTCATTCAGTAATCAAACTCAAACTTTTTGTATGGTGGCTGGATCTCAAGGGGAAGAAAGTGAAATTGACAAGACTCCTTAATGCCTGGGCTCCTAGAACATTACTTCTGCCGCATTCTGGTCAAAGCAAGTCACAAGGCCAGCCCGTATTCAAGAGATTCCAGGAGTAGCAGGCACGAGTAAGAATGGGAAGAATTGCTGCCAGCTGACTTTGGAAACAATCTGCTACAGCAGGCATGGTCTAATGGTATAGCAAGAGATAGTTCAAGCTGTCCTTCCTTAGTCCTAGACAAGGCCAGCACATGGCCACTGAAGTAGTTTAACTTGGTGAGCCAGGGAGTGTATTTGAGACCAGACTAGCACAAGCATCCTTGCTGTTTCAGCAGGAACTGTCAGTACCTCCCTTCTACCTCATGTGCACCACTGCAGATCCAGGTATGCTAATCACACAACGGGAAGATTTGCATTTAGACTTAGATGTCATGACCTGATGCCACCATAGAGGCATCATAATATCTTCTCTGATATGCTGTCCATTGGGAATGCTGTGTTTTTCTCTCCAACTACAAACTGATCTTTGCTAAGTGGCTTTATTTTTACCCTAAGTTATTGTTTCTCTCAGATCCTGCCGTAAATCCTGGTTGGCTTTCAGGATTCTTATAATCAGTCTAGATTCGTGGTCCATTGGGTTTGGAGGCACTTGGGAACATGCAGCATTCTCCAGGTGCCCAGTGAGTCCATTTGCAGGATTCAAGGGGATTCTGGAAGCTGGGATTATAGAGAGGAGCACCTGGTAGTTCTGGCCAGCTCAGGGATGGATGTAAGATGGTTCAAACCAGTAGCATACAGGCACTCAGATGGCTTTATGGGAAAGTTAGAATACCTGAATGGGTGGTTTAGTCCCCTTCTTTAAGATGGACGTGATTCTTCAGAGGAGTCTAAGGATGTCTGACCCTTCCTTGCTTTAAACCTGACCCTTCTTCCTAGTCCTTCAGGTGTGAGCTAAATTCTTGCTACTCCAAGTGTGGCCCCAGGACCCGCAGCATCTTTATTACCTGGGAGCTTTTAAGAAATGCAGAATCTCAGCACCGCCCCCACTTGAATCAGAATCTGAATTTTTATAGGATCCCCAGGTGATTCATATGCACAAAAAAAAGTTTGAGAAGCACTGAGCTAAACCCTTCTGACCTCACCTATGAGCTCAGCAAACCTTCCTAGGTGTTCAGACTATCTAGCAGAAACGGGTCATCAGGGAATGACATAGATTTTCTGTGTCAAGTTTCCTGAAGTTTCATAATGGGGTGACACTGTCCTCCTCTGCTTTGCTCACAGAGAAGTGGTAAAATGGAAGGTGCAGGACAGGGAACAAGTCTGTTTTGTATAACAGTACTTAGTACAGTGACTTGATACATACAGTTGGTGTTGTTATGTTATTGTTAGTTGCCCTTGAGTTGGTCCCGGAAATGCACTACAGAAGGAAATGCTGCCTGATCCTGCACCATCCCCATGATCAGTTATAGATTGGACCTTTATGATCCAGAGGGTTTTCATTGGCTGATTTTGGAAGTAGATTGCCAGGCCTTTCTTCCTAGTTTGTCTTATCTGGAAGCTCCACTGAAACCTGTTCAGTATCATAGCAACACACAGGCCTCCACTGACAGATGGGTGATGACTGCATATGAGGTGCATTGGCTGGGAATCAAATTCAGGTCTGCCGCATGGGTGAAGGTGAGAATTCTACCATTAAATTCTCCCATTGAGTTACCATTGCCCCCTGATACATGCTAGGTGCTCAGAAATACTTGAATATTTGTGAATGGATTGGTTAACTTGAGAATAAATTGAGATGACTGTTATTAATGTGGAAGGAACTCAGTTCAAGTGACTCCAAAAACTAGCCTACTGCCAACAAATAGAATTTTTTTAATTTGCTACCACTGACCTCACTATTATTGAACCCACAGGACAACCCTTTTAGGAGACTCCAGTTTGAACTAATGATCTTCTGGTGGAGCCATACTGCCCTGCCAAACCTCTACCACACCTCTTTGCTGCCTCTCATTCTCCTAATAGCACCAGATTCCTCTATAGTTTCAAACCAACTGGTTTTCTGTAGTTTTGAGCCTAATTTCACTTTGCCTCTTCACAAAGGAGAAACCTGCATTTG